TCTATAACCTCCAGTACCTGTTCGACGCGTGTCTCGACTTCTTCGACGAGAACGTGAGCTACGCGTTCAAGACGTTTGACAACCAGTTGGTCGGCGGAGACATACTGTTGGACGTGATCTCGAGGGAAACGTTCGGCGCTCCGGAGTCCGATATCTACCTGTTGGTGGAGAAGTGGATCCATAAGTACCGGATCCGCTCGAACCAGAAGGCGCCGGAGGAGTCGCTGCTGTTGGCGGCCGTGAAGATAGCGCGGAAGACGAGTGCCAAAAGTAGAGACAAAGCACAGGACGTCATAGACATAGACGTCGACTCCGACTCTGAAGATGACGATGACATGGATTACAACTCCTTCTCGAACTCCAATTCCAACTCTTCCGACAGCACCGGTATGTCTACTATTTGTTGGCACTTCATACTGGAATCAAAACATGAATTTAATGATTGATTATATCGTACAATATATGCAAATATTTGTCAGATTCTGGTTCAGAATCGGATGGAAGTCTGACCCAAAAAAAAGTGGGGAAACTGAAGAAGCTTTTGGAGAAAAGGGGTTTAGTTCCCAATGACTGCGTCTATTACTTATTGTCTACTATTTTGTACGACAATAACAAGAATGTTAAGAAATCGGCCAAAAAGATATTCAAATGTAAGTCCTTTTGCTTTTCATTGTCGAGTTAACCACAAATATATGTTAATTCTTGAGTTCAATATTATAAGTTATTTATAGCATAAGGTGTTCACAATTTTGTAATCAATAGACGACACAGTTTTCAAGTGAACCTTATTTGCTTTGAATTAGTGAATCACACGCACTGTCACTATCACCACAACACCACTAATACTAGCCGTACAGACATGTGTGACATCGAAGTGGACGATGATATCGACCTCACCTACGAGTCCGATGTGGAGGACGAGGAATTATAAGTTATTTATAGCATAAGGTGTTCACAATTTAGTAATCAATAGACGACACAGTTTTCAAGTGATTTCCATAACTGAGGCTTCGAAACCTTATTTTCTATAAACTCATTGATTGCCACTAAATCACTAAATTATATATTATATTCTTAACTATCATTTTATCATAATTTATTCGCCATATAAAGCCATATCAGACTTGAGTCGAGAAGTCATGGAATCATACAATGGTTCCAAACATAAGAGCCATAAATCCAAGAATAAGAAAAGAGGAGACAACCATTCAAACCATTCAAATCATTTAAACCATTCGGTTAAGAGCTCAAAGTCACCTGAAATTGTGAATAATTTGCAATCGACAGGCGTTGCCAATACTTGCATACCTATGATGACATCCCTGCCCACATCAGTGGTCACACCGGTGCCGTCGTCCATGTCGTCCATTCTGCTAACAGCGCCGCACACCTCATCCACTATCCCCATGCCATCGGTGGTGGTGCCCGTCTCACACGCCCACAGCTCATCCATGACACCCATGACTTACTACACACTAGTGACCAAAACAGGTGGTCCCACACAAATGCCTGTCATCAACACCACGTTTGCCAGCAGTAGTGGTGGTTATAGGAGTGCCGATCCAAATGAAATCATTAAAAGATTACCCCCTTTACAGCCCATGCGAACATCCATTAGCACCGCATCCCCATCTCCATCGACCGCATCATCCCATCCGTCACTTCCAGCCATTGATTCGACCAATACTTCCAAAACGAGTCCCACTTATGAAGCGATGATGATGTCGATGTCGGAGGACAGCGTCAAACTAAGGATCACTTCGAGATTCAATAAAAATGCCCGAAAGAGCACTAATAACCCGTAAATCAATTGCAATGATTTGAATACTATTTTAAGAATTCTATGAGAATATAATGACTACTGATTCAAGTTATCCATATATTGCAATATAAAATACCAGTGACCATTGCTTTTTTGCTTATACTGTATATTTCCCATAATATGGTAGACACTACCGTATATTATACTGTATTCTATTCATACATTACTGTAATGTCCGGTCTATATAATTCAATTTAAACTTTTACTATTTTAATACAATTTTACCATTTAATCGTAATTACGTTAACTATTTTTGGACTTTTATATGTTTTTTAAATAAACATTTCATATATTA